TATGATTTTCGCCGTCATGTATACCAAGCACAACACCGTAACCTGAATATTAAATTTATAATTAATTAAATGGGCAATTTAGGAAGTCATTAACCCAGTAACAATCCTATCGCATGATAAGCACTTAGTTGGGGTGTGTTAGGATAAAAAATATAAAAAATGAGAATATAGTTTACAGATAAATAGCGTAATTGATTGATATTGTCTCGATATTCTTATCATGTGATTAAGACCCCGAGTTAACCGTTCGTTTCCGATTAATTATGTAACTTATTCTAATACCTCCTAATCTTTCCATGACGCCTGTAATTAACAGCCCTTGTGTATCATCTACAACTAGCATTTTCGCGTTAGCTCTTACATTTGATAATGTTAACATCTGAGAGAGTGTATCTATGCGCATATCTCTAAAGTAAAAAATCGGTTAATCTTTTTGTGTGCTCGGTGGTAATGGGTTAAGATGGTATGGTTTACCTTATTTTTGAGGGATTTTTTGCATAGAAATATTCCCATACCGAATATAATGTTGGTCTTACAGGAGTAAAAACGCGTGAAAACCTATTTATTTAAATATAAATATGAACCACATAAATTCGGATGCTTGAATTGGTCATTGTAAAAGAATTTTATAAAATAGTATCCTTACTTTGATTCTTTTCGTTTAATATATTTCGCTTTAGAGTATTCGGTTTTTTTATCAAATGATGAATGGCTTTCGATTACTTTCTTGATAATATCCTAAAATGGTAAAATTAATTGATTTTTTCAATTTAATTTAAACAATTTGAAGTAAAAGTTTTTGTTCTAATAAAAGCAAACCTGTCCTTCTATTCCGTCCTTTTTTAATTGTTCGATATCCTGATAGGATAACTTTTGTTTAGATGGGTCATCAATTGTTTGCTGATTATTTGCATCAGATTCATCTAAATCTAGAGTGATCTAAGAATAAGTATATTATAATTGAGAATATGGTAAATGAAAAAAATTCTTACCAACTTCATAAAATGCGACATTTCTAATTACTTTTACTTTATCCCGGTCATAAATTTCGTAAGAATGACCAAAAGGTTTCCCTATTATATCATTTGTATGAAAAGTACCAAATTTTCCTAATGACACAGTTCTATGGAAATATAATAAAAACAAATAATCAATTTGTGTTAATATAGTAACAAAATTAAGTAACAATTTAAGACGAAAGAAAAAGATATAATACACACTCACGTATCCTTTTGCAGTTTAAGCACCTTAATATTACCGCTCGGAAGTACAATAAATACATACTGATTATCCATAATATGAAGTGTATCAGTGTCTTCTATTTGCTCAAAAGACTCGTTATTGAAATCAATTTCATCAAAGTTTTGGGAATTAACCGGGTTGTTGGATTGTTCCGAAGACATCGTTAACATCAAAGAAGTAATGATTGCGATTGATAAACTTATTTAAATAAAAATTTTAACTAATCATAATGGGATTTTACTAATCGGCCAATCGGATTATCGCATATATATCATTGATTAAAAAATAAAACTATTTTTTTTTATTCGACGATACAGAAATGTGTACGTATTCGATTTATCAAAATTATTTTTTATACATTAAGCAATGTTCTAAAATTCTAAATCTATAAATTCATATATATATATATGTACGTACGTACGTATACACATACGTATATATATATATATATACACATATTAATATATAGTCTCACAGTTCAACTACATAGTACAGTTAAATGTTACCATTACATTATCATTAACGTTAACAATATTTGCGATTGGCTTCACCTCATTACTTTTAGCTTGATCTTTGTTCTTTTGATTTGACTTTCCTTTGCTCCGAGATTTATTAGGTGAATGTTCTTTATCATGAGTATCTTCAATGTTCGAATCTTTTGCCTTGCGTTTATTAGCTATCGGAAAATCAAAAGGGTTATATGGCAAGATAATGTTCGCTTTATTGGGGCAAATTTAGAGTGATGCAATGAATCTTAACGTTAGTGACCAGAAAAAATAATGGTAATTTCAAAATATCGCTATTACCATTTAAGAATTTAGTACTATATTCAACTAATTGGTGATTACTATCACCGAGATTTTCCTCTAATATGGGACCGATAACTAATGGACGGAATGGTTCAATTACTCTGGGCTAAAACATGAATTTACGATTATTTCAACATTTATAGACATGTACACCATTCAATTAAAAATAAATAAAATAACTCGCCTGATTATATTCTTTGTAACTTCCTGCTCTTTTTTTAACATCTAATGTAAAAAAAAAAAATTATGATTCATGATAACATCGATCAAAATTTCTAATACTAATACATACGAGGTGACGATTCAGAAGAAGTAATAGACGCAAATTCATCAGCTTCTTCGGCAATTTCGTCTTCGGATAGGTAACCCGTAGGCACGATCCAGCCATCATCCTTAAACAAAAAAAAAAAAAATAAATAGATAAATTAAACAATAAGCTTAATTTTAAATGAAAAATATCCAATCAATACGGCATTTCATACTCCAGGGTCTTCATCTTCTGGATCATCATCATCATCGTCGTCACTTTTTAATTCTTCACCTTCTTCCTCTTCTTCCCATTCCATATCACTATCATATTCATAATCCATGATACTAGTGTCCTTGGCAAATGGGCGTCTGCCTGAAATAATCTTGCTCGACTTCGTCCAAGTACCTTGATCGACAGCAAAAACATATTTTATGAACTTAATTCACGAGTTCAAAAATGTTGAATCACCACAATTTTTTGAATTCAATTTTCAGTTCTATTTAAGATTTAGCTTCTATGTGTTGTTTTACTGAAAATTGTGAAAAAATTGCGGGAGATCCAAACATTTTGTAAATAGTATAGTACACTTATATATTCGAAAGCACAAGACATCAATACCGTAATATGGAGGACGATAATTTTCTTCAAATTGCAGCAATTTCATCCAAATTTTTTTGTCGTCTCCAAATAATGATGATAGATCCTCTACAGCCATGTCTGCCATAGATATGAAACTACACTCTCTTGTCACAGTTCCGCTACGGGTCGACCAATCCATACTTTCACATCCATTATTATTATCATCATCAATATCCATTTTGTGAGGTTCATGTTGTTTTGTTGTTTGCAGAATTAATTCTTTAGCCGACGCCAGTGCTTTCATACCACGTTTTTTAAGAAGCTCCGGTCGCACAGTTGATAAAAATTCCCTGATATATTTCTCAGACTCTTTTGTTTTTTGTGGTATTGAAGGATTACATATCGGATTTTCCGAATTCGAATCGTTATTGCGCGTGTTTTCAAATACCATTTCAGCAAAATTCGGTGCTACAGGATGCTGGAAGCGATTTATTGGGGCCATGGTCATGGTTTTCGTTACGTTAAAGGGAAGAAAGTACGTATTAAAGGGTGCGCTATTGGTGGCTTAAAAATAACACAATCCGTTAAGTTGGATTAAAAGACGAAAAATAGATGAATATTGATAAAATGCAAGATAGTCGCGTGATGGCTTACCTGGCTTGTCATTCTTGGTGGCTTCTTTCCGAACAGGTGAAAAGAATTTTAGCAAACTTGCATTGGAATTTTCAGTGGATTTGCGCGACATTTATTATTTGTCAAAGTAGTGTTCTGAAGAGAATTAAAGATAACCGATTGCCACTGACGCGTAAAGAATTGCACGTTGAACGACACTGTCGCTAATTCAGTAATTATAAATGTGGGGTGCTACACAAATTTTTATTATCACGTGATAAGAGTCGATTGAATTTCTTTGATAGATTTGATTAGCCAATTATTTGCTTGGTTAACGATAAGTAACGACTTTACATTGTAAATTCCTCCTTAAGAATGGGAAACGAAGTAAATCAAAGCCAAGCGGCGGCTACAGCTCGTGAATTGATGAAACAAAAAGATGCCATTGAAAACAAAATTAAAGAATTTGAGCAAGTTTTAAGTTCGGTATGCCATTTCTATCTTATTCAAAGTTAGTGAGCAGTTCTTTAATTATTTTTATTTAATAGCAAGGAGTAGGAATGCATGAGCCTTTAGTCGACAGTTCTGGGTTTCCGCGTGCTGATATTGATCTAATGACAGTAAGAACAGCTCGTTCACGAATAATCGGTAATATAAATAATTTGATGAATTATATATTCAGCGCTTAAATCCTGAAAATCGCGCTCACCCTTAGGTTTTTTTAAATGTAATTTAATTCTCATCTCGATTTACGATTTATAACATTAGCATTACAAAATGATCATAAAGACATTATGTCTCGTATAGAATCTGCACTTCACGAGATTCATGCTGAAAACAAAGCAAACCGTCGACTTGAAGAGACTAGTTAAGAATGGTAAAAAAAAGTTTTAAAATCGTTTATGTTTTCAATTGTTTTTAAAACGTCGACAGCTTATGCCGAAATTGTATATATGATTGGTTCCAGCATAATTTCTTAGATCGGGACAGCTTTAAAAAGATGTATAATATTATAATCCCGTCTTTATAAATTTTACACGTAAAAATATTATGAATGTATATTAGAAATCCTCTATGAATTGTTTCAAATTTTCTCGTATTTTATTCAAAAGTTTTTTGCAGAAAAAATTTTTTTATTATTAATATTCATGATAATTATTATTGCATCATAAAATATTAAATATTTTTTTTAAACAATTAAAAATCAAACAATGGTTATTTCCATAGCAGGAGTCAGTCGTGTTAGGTTAGTGTTAGTTGTAGTTCCAGTCAATTTTTGTCTGGATTTTGTCTAGGGAGTCTGTTGGGTTTTTGACCCAAGCCCATATTAGCATGCTATGTTTTCAACTCATGACATTTATGTCAAATTGGGCTTCGTGTAAATGATTCTATTATTTAGATTAATCGATGTAAATTTGTCTTTCATTCTATTTCATATTCTACGAATTATAAATTTTTTGTTTGTATTTTTATTCTTATATCCGTTTTTATTTTAATAAAAAGTTAACAGCAAATCTTGTTAGATCTTATCATTTCAGGCATATCTTTTTATACACATATAAAATAAAAAATATTAATGGTCAGAGTTTTTACAGGCATGAGCTTTATTTCAATAGCATATTATATTGCTTTTGCTTACCTTAAACATAACAGAATACAAATCAAAAAGACAATCCCTATATGCACACTAGTGTATAAACACAGCTATAATAAAAATTTTACTTATAGAATATTTTTGAGGCTCTAACAACACTATAAAAAAGGATTGTATAAAATTAGTATAATATTTGTGCTAGATGTGTGAAATTGTGCCATTCTGTCTAATTTTTGTCTGATGTTATTTTATTTGAAATAAACCAAAAACTTAGACAGAATGGACATATTATTTTTTATAGGGCAAAAAGATTCTTGCAAAATTTTAGTATCAACTATTGCTAAAAAGTTAAATAACAGTTTTAATTTTTTACTATAAAACCAATAAATTGTTGTAATTATATTTGAAAATTTTGTTAATAATATTTGTATTGTTAATAAAAGTAATACATATTTATAACTAAAAAAACCTATATAGCAGTATTAGCTTAATTAAAAGCTATTAGTTTTGGTTTTAAATATAAGATTTAAGTGATATTATATGAGTGTCGCTAAAAGAAAACCCGACAATTTAAATATGATTTATATTTAAATTTTCGGGTTTTCTTTTAGCGACACTCATATATAGTTTGTTTCAAGTTTTGAAAAAAAATAAATTTAGCAGCACATTAATCACTGGTTTGAAAGTTGATACATTCACTTATAAGCTATTTCAAGAGATTTTATTGAAACAAATATATTATAGACTTTTCGACAAGCTTTAGTACAGTCAGAACTCTCTATAGTAACATCTTCTATAGTCACATTTGCTTATAATCACAAATTTTTAAAACCAACTTATATATAACGCATATAAAATTTAACCTTTATATAAGCACAAACTCTCAAATTCTTCAAACCAAGGGTGTGATTATAGGGAGATTGACTGTATAAGGTTTTGGTTTAGTTTAGTAGCAAATACTTAACAATTGCATCAATTATATTGGTGTACATCCCCCCTAAGGACGCTTGAGCGAGTAATAATCATTTCTGATTTTCCTCTTCCAATATAACTGAATCCTGCTGTTTTACACATTTAGACTGTTCGATTTTCAATATTCCGGGCCTGGTTCTCCGGGTTTATTTAACCCTCAACAGGCGTGCTGCAGCAAACGTTTCAGCTAAACTTACAGCCATCCAGGTTGCCAAGAATTCTTAGTTGAATCCAAAGGCGCCGGTCCTACACTATTTCACCAGAACATTGAAAATTACCCTTCTTCAATCCATTATGGTTACATAAAACTTCACCATCGCCCCCTGGACTTTCATAATAAATAAACTAATTACTATAAGAATGAACATTCCCTGGCTTCCAACCAGTGTTGAAATGGTTCGACACCCTTCAGTATACACATCATTAGGGTCCGCCTGACGTCTAATGCCGAAGCTCCCATTTAAACACGAGTAGTTCAATCTTAAAATAACTAAACTATTAATCAATCACCCCAGGATGGGTTAGACAGTTTCATTTTACTGCTCCATAATTTCAAGAAGGCCGTCAGCCTAAAGAGGTATAGGCCGCAGGTCTCTCATGGTGATAATACTCACGGTCAGTTCTAATTTCGATTACTAAGTCCACACGTACTTAGTAAGTCTTAAGAACATGCAAAATCACGTTTAGGTGGTAGGGATGTTACCGTAAAACGCCGTATAAGGTACCCGGGTATCTTACAATTCACATGATAAAAATTTGATTTGTACCCCCCGGG